TACCGCCGGGGTGGCGGGGGCAATGAACACCCGGGCTACGGCCCCAGCACCCAGCGACTGGTGGCCACCTGTCAGCAGGAGCAGAGGGCCGCGGGGAGCACTGGGAGGACAAGTGCCCTGTTCTGCACCCTGCTCAGCACCCTGCTATGCACCCTGCTGTGTGCACTGCTCTGCACCTTGCTTTGTGCACTGCTGTGCACCCTGCTCTGCGCCCTGCTGTGCTCCCTGCTCTGCACCCTGCTTTGTGCTCTGCTTTGTGCCCTGCTTTGTGCACTACTTTGTGCCCTGCTTTGTGCAGTTCTGCACCCTGCTCTGCACTCCGCTGCGCACCCTGCTTTGTGCCCTGTTTTGCACCCTGCCATGCAGTTTGCTTTGTGCCCTGCTCTGCACCCTTCTGTGTACCCTGCTCTGTGCCCTGCTTTGTGCACTACTGTGCACCCTGCTGTGCACCCTGCTGTGCACCCTGCCCGGCTGTGCTAAGGCCATGGCTGGCTTTCCCAGGGGCTCAGGGACGGGGATGTCCCCCTCGGGGAGAAGGGCTGGTGCTCAAGGCAGAACCCAGGCACCGCATGCACGCAAGGCCCCACGGCCAGTCCCTTCTCCATGCTGCCACGGTAGCAGCTTCGCAGCGCTGCTTGGGTTTCCCTGCCCTGGGGGGACGAGGCGTCCGTGTCCCCGCACGGCCCTGGGGAGGGACGGCAGCGCCCACGCGACAAGGCGCAACAAGACCAGGCTGAATGCTGGGAGACGTTTACTGCCAGCCACCGGCCGTGAGGTTTGTACAGGACGGAGATGCGGCCGGCGAGACAGGGGTGGGTGTTGGCGGCAGCTGCCCTAGGTGCGGTACTCGCAGATGAAGGGTTTCCTGTCGCTGCAGAGCTCCACGTCCCAGGTGGCAAAATCTGGAAAGGGAAAGTGCCCTGCAGCGTGTGCACGGTGTGTGTCTGTGCATGTGCGCGTGCACGTGTGTCTGTGTGCATGCACGTGTCTGTGCATGTGCATGCACGTGTGTGTGTGCATGTGTGTGTGCATGACCGTGCATGTGTGTGCACGCGCACGTGTATGCATGCATGTGTGTGCATGTATGCATACATGAATGTGTGTCTGCATGCACACGTGCCTGCATGCATGTGTGTGCATGTGTGTGTGTGTGCACGTGTGCGTGTGTGCATGCACCCCCGTGTGCCGCCTGCTCCCGCAGCGGGCTGTGCCGGGGCAGGGAGCCCTCTGCTCACCTGTGGTGTCCTCCAGCGCCACGCAGGCTCTCCGCCGCAGGAAGACATCCCTGTACCAGGAGCCGTAATCCAGCTTGGTGCCGTCTGACCATTCCCAGTTTCGCCTCTGCGGGGGCAGGAGGGGCTGAGGCGCCGGGGCCGGGGACCGCCTGGCGCGGGGAGCCTCACTGTGCTAGTAAGGTCTCTGACTGATTTCTTTCTGAAAAGACAAAAACTACACCCAAACAGAGCACATCAGAAATGTGTTTAATGAAGATATTGTTTCAGCATTTTAAGACCTCTCTTTAGCCTTTCCCATGGAATGTTGGGAAAGAATCTGTCCTTCAGTCACAGAGCAAACCAGGTAGTGTGAGCAGATAGATCTGTACTGTCAGTATTCACCTTTAAGGTTTCTACAGTGACCTCCATGGTGACATGCAGACGTCACCCATTTTATGAGTCACAGACCTTTCAGGCCTTTCAAAACTTCAAGTGTGACCTCTTGAGAAGAGATTATGGATTTTGAAGTGCTACGTGCCGTGATTTTAAGTTGTGACCCGCAGCACAAGGACAGAACCGAAACTCCTCCGCTTGGTTAATTTATCCTTGCGTAAAAGGTAAAATAAATCAGCATCCAGTTCTTTATCTGTGCATTGCTTCCTGACCTTCAGAGCTGATGACAATAAAGACGCTCAATGTAAGGGCGTTCTAAAGGCAGTCGGCGCAGGACAGGTACACCGAGCTAATTCATTACTTGTTTCACTCCACGTCCCTGGGAAGAGAGCAGCGGCAGCCCCCGCGGGTGCATGGGACACCCAGCCCAGCGCCGCGGGGCGTGGAGGACACCCAGCCTGGTCAGGTGGGTGCTGGGCTTGTCCACAGGTACAGCCCCCCGGGGGCTGGGGAGCTCCAACAGCATGCATGGGAGCAGAGGTGAGATGTCGGCAGGTGGGAGGTGGCAGGAGGTGACAGCATCCTGGTGCAGGGTGGATAGGAAGTGCAGGAGTCCCCTTCCGGGGAGCAGGGTGCAGGGGTGCAGAGTGCAGGGCAGCAGCACGCAGGCTGGGGGGAGCTGGCTGTGGAGTGCAGGGTGCAGGGCATGCAGGATGCGAGGTGCACGGCACATTGGGGCACAGTGTGCAGTGCTGGGTGGGGGATGCAGGGGTGAAGGATGCAGGGGGTAAGGTTGCAGGGTGCAGGGGTGCAGTTTGAGGGGTGCAGGAGGGCAGTGCATGGAGTGCAGCACACAAGGCATAAAGTGCAGGGATGCAGGGTGTGGGGGTGCAGGGTGTAGGGTGCAGGGGTGCAGGATCCAAGGGTGCAAGGTGCATGGATACAGGATGTGGGATATGAGGGTGCGGGGTGCACAGTGCAGGGGTGCAGGCGTGCAGGGGTGCAGGGTGAGGGACAAAAGGGAGTGGGGTGCTGGATGTGCAGTGCAGGGGTGCAGGGTGCAGGGCATGGGGTGCAGAGTGCAGGATACGGGGGAGTGGAGTGCTGGATGCACAGTGCAGGGGTGCAGGGTGTGGGGTGCTGGATGCACAGTGCAGGGGTGCAGGGTGTGGGGTGCGGGATACGACGGTATGGGGTGCTGGATGCACAGTGCAGGGGTGCAGGGTGTGGGGTGCTGGATGCACAGTGCAGGGGTGCAGGGTGTGGGGTGCTGGATGCACAGTGCAGGGGTGCAGGGTGTGGGGTGCGGGATACGACGGTATGGGGTGCTGGATGCACAGTGCAGGGGTGCAGGGTGTGGGGTGCGGGATACGACGGTATGGGGTGCTGGATGCACAGTGCAGGGGTGCGGGGTGCAGGACATGGGGTACAGGATGCAGGGTGTGGGGTGCAGGGTG